CTCTGATAGGATAAACCACGAGGAGTTAGAGGCGTCGACATACGTGGGAAGGATCTGTATGTTCAGTCGATCTGATGCCTGATAGTCCACCGTCAAAGTCAAGGTATCAAGATCTGTCCCATAGACATTGCATGCCTTCCCGGCCAGGTTCAAACGTGCCGTGAAGCCATGGGAGCTCTGTTGCACGTTTGAGGCCTTGTAACCGGGACACACTGACTGTGCGTCGACTGCCTGAGGATCATCAATGTTGGCGATCAATTGAGCCCCCACATCCGCTTCAGCCGGGATAGTGAATTGCGCGTACGAGGCGGATGCGGATGTGGTGAATAAGGTCGACTGGCTCAGCCCAGAGGCCACGGGCATGAGCCAAGCACCAACCAGTGTTACCATTAGATTAACCATGGCGAGCAGCAGGTAAAAACCAGCACCGTCGTCGTGTTATGGTTGGCTAGCATGAGAACAGCTAGAAACCCTCGGGTTTGTTCCTCCACGGAACAGGGCTCATAAGTATTTAAGTTCTTGTGGTGAGAGCATAATGCAGTCGGTCATTGGAATTCTAGACGGAGGTGCTGTGCAACAATGCGTTGTTCCCCGCAGACAAGCCATTATTGCTCCGTCGAATTCCCGTGGTGCAAGGGCGGATCGGGCCCGCATTCAGAGTCGACTGGAGGCTTCAATTCCGGCAGGTTAGATTGATGCGGGGAAGACAAGCCTAGAGTAGAATTGGGGTTAGATGATCGAAGAATGATGGCAGGACCGGAAAAGGGAGAAAGGAGTGAAGACAGGAATTGGTACTTGGCAAATCCCTCGGTTAGAGACCGGGAGGGCCGTGTTGAAGTTGTTTGCCAGGTGGATGCCTGAGACTTCTGGCCTGATGGCTATCATCTGATTCTCGCGCTCTAACTGGTCACTTCCCCCGATAATCGTCCGACGACGTGGAGACTCGCAGCAAGCGAAGTACCTAAAGTACCCAAACAAGCCATCGATCGTTTCCTTTTCACTGCATCTCTTCACCCTCACGAATCCTTAAGTCTCACTAGAGACCGATTTACACTCGCGCGAGACCACATCAGGCACCACTAATCCCGACTGAGATCCGGTCCGTCCGGCCAATATCTTCAGCACGGTTCCCACTTCCCAAACAGCAACCGGTGAAGAGGCCGATCTTCACACCAGCATCGCCGCATACACAACGAAAATACCGGAGCCAGCCTCGGCACTTCCCAGGCAGGATCATGGGGGCAAGTGAGGGTCTGGCGTGGAGGGAGAAAGAACCTTCAAGCGGCCTGCAAAGGGCATACACACTCTCAGCGTCTGGCTCGGCTTCCCGAAGCGAAGTGCACCTTACAGTCGACAGCCAATACATGTGCGAAAGCACCCGAACTGTGGAGAAATCGGCCAGCAATAGGACTGAATCTCAATCACATGAAAAGATCCTACGGTATACAAGCGCTCCTATTACATGCAGGGGCCGGAGAGTCAGAAATAAAAATGACGCACCCAGAGTCTTGGTCTGCCTTCAACCGTAATGCGCACATTTCCTGGAACTTTCTCTGGCCGATTATCCTAACAGGTGGATCGCCTGGTCATACCATTCATCAGCAGGCAATACACTGTTCCTTCGTTTTATGGGGTGGTCTGGTCTGGGTGTCTACACTCAAACTCACTCTGTAGTAGTTGGTAGAGAAATCCTTAATAGGTTTCGCAAGGTGAAGGGGGCCGCCTCTCGGTACCTTCGAGGCCTGAGAGGCGAATCTGGGCCTAGGAAACGAAACGAAATTAAATCGACTAACAAGCAGGAACCCAACAGGGTCTGGTACCGCGGGGTCCGGGCCACCTGGAGGACGGGCCAACCTTGTGCCTTGCGCCATGTTTCCCTTCCCCCGCTTGCGCGCCCCCGGATTTTCCGTTCTTCGCTGCTTCCTTCCCCCTCCTCCAAAAACCGCATAATCTTTATGTATCTCTGGATCCGCGTGGCCTTCGAGATTAGAACATCATCTCTCCTGGATCTATCACTCTATCAACGTGAAATGATGCCCATGGACTATCATCGTTACTGCTGATCTTCTACCGCGATCCGATTATAGTCCCTGCAAACCAATGGACTCGCATCCTTCCCCCGCTAAGCCTAAATCCTCCAAGCAAGCCTGCGATAACTGCCGTCGTCGAAAGATCAAATGCTCTAGGGAGCTTCCTTGCGACAAGTGCCAGCGTCTCCTGCTCTCCTGCTCCTACAGTGACGTTCTACGGCGCAAGGGTCCCAAATTTCGCACCATCTATCCACTTGCGCCGATCCACCCATTGGTATCCCGCCAACAACGGGATTCTTTTCACCAGCACCCACAGCAGTACCCTTCAGAGAAGCAATGGACAGCTGATACCGTGGCCTATCCATTGGCAAGGTCGCCAATGTCGCCACCATTCACATTAACGGACTCTCAATACCTGTCTAATGATGTTTTGGAACCGCTTGCCCAGCTCCCTCCCCCGGAGCTAGTCTCCTCTCCAGACTCAACGAACTCCCTCTCGGACTCTACAATCGGCATTATTCGTCCCTATGCAAGGCGCCTTTCAGCCCCCGTACTCCTAGCTCACGTCAATGTGTACCTCAAATACCTGTTTCCCATCATGCCAGTAGTGCGAAGGCAGGAGCTCCAGCGAGATTGCCATCGACCCGAGCTACTTTCCTCGCAGAGGTATGCATTTCTGGCATCTCTATGCGCAGCCACGCATATACAGCTCAAGTTGGACGGAACGACTTCTGTGCCCGACCCCTCGCATTTTCCGACTGGAGCCGAAGGCCACTCGTGCATGTCTGGAGAGGAGTTGCTGGCCGAGGCGGTCCGAGCAAGGAAAGACTGCGATGTGGTGGAAGATCTCAATATGGACAGTCTCTTGACATCATTCTTCCTCTTTGCTTCCTACGGCAATCTAGACAAACAAGACCATGCTTGGTTCTACCTTTGTCAGGCTACCTCCATGGTTTTCACGCTAGGTCTGAACCGCGAATCAACTTACGCTGAGTTGAGTGTCGAAGAAGCCGAAGAGAGGCGGAGAGTCTTCTGGCTGCTATTTGTGACAGAAAGGTAAGCGAGTATGATGTCACAGCGTGATGAGAACGAAGGGGTCTGATTATGACTAGAGGCTATGCACTTCAACAGGCTAAACCGGTAATGCTACGCAACTCCATTCACAAACCACAAGTCCTCTGCTCCGAAGACCCGATCCTCGCCTACGGATTCATCAATCTCATCAGCATCTTCGAAAAACTGTCCGTCAATCTCTTCGACTGGATATCCGCCGGCGGCGTGGACAGCTCTTCCGAAATCCCACCCACCTCCGCCATCCAGTCCAGTCTCTGCAAAACGGTATCTCTTGAGGGGGTGTCAGAGATTCAGAAGGTTGATATACTCATCACCCAGCAGTGGCTGCAAGCCATGATGTGGAAGCTCTCCATGACCCGCCCCACCCAGCCCGGGTCTCGCGATGATGCAGTCCTCCCATTTCACCTGCCAGTCATGGTCGGAAAGGCCGTGATGAACGTCATCAGCGCAGCATCTCAAGACGCCGTTGATGCCCACGGCATCGGCATGGTGAGTCAAAAGCCCCCGAGACAAGCCCATCCCCCCAACAGTTATGTTCCCCCCCTCCTTCCCCATCTCCCCCTTTCCACGCCTTAAAAACCACTCACGCCGTTTCTGTTTTTTAGGAACAAAAACTCTTCGACCTAGGCACCGCCGTTGCCGACGTCACACGATCCCTAGGCTCCGGCTCCGGTTCCGGCTCTTCGAAACCCGCGAACTGGCTCACCGAATCCGCCGTCGACCCCCGCGAACTCCTCTGGGGAATCCTCACCACCCTCTCCCGCATCCGCGGCTCCCAGTCCCACCTCTTCCCCACGTTACTAGAGCGCTGCAAAGGCGCCCTCGACTTCACCTCCCCCCTTTCCATGGGCGAGTTCCTCGCCCTGCCTGCACCACCACCGCCCCCTCCACCGCCACCGCCATCCATCAACAGCAACAACAACAACAACCCCTCCGAATCGTGGAACGCGGAGACCAGCGCACTCGATATCGTCGCCTCGTTGCCGGAAAACCTCAATCTTCAAGATGATTCCGATGATGGAGACACGCTGTCCCAGATTCTGTCCCTAGCTTCACAGATCGAATTTCGGGCTGGAAATGGAGGGGCCGGTGAGTGTGCGTCATAAGTGAAACTCGCATAGTTGTGGGGACTTCTCCCCGCAATGACTGAGTGTGTGTGGCATGGTGAATTTGGTTGGGTCTTTGTGCTTGGACTTGACTGTGATACCACACCTTCTCAGCTTATACATATACATACATACAAAGGGCTCGAGTAATGAACATAATGATTTATGATTTGTAGGAGATACTGATCTTGCGAAATATCCTGCTATGCCAATAGACTTCAATCCCGCCGTTATGAACCGACTCACTGCTCAAGGCGATGCGAAATGAACAAGACAGACCTAACCTTTCTATAATTGATGATAAAATACATGATCAACAATCTCGGCTCTAAGCAGAAACAAGGCAGAACTACGTAGACATCTAATATGATAGGAACAATTTTCAGGGCCTCTAAAGAGAAGGAACACAAAGAATGATAATCAGCGTAACCAAAAACCGTCCGTGGCAGAAAAACTTCAATCGTGTTGCTATACATAAGATATGACGGCTAAGCGTCAATAAACGAAAACCTATACAAATAATGGGTATGTGCCAAATCCAGCTCTAGCCTTGGATAGCACGTAATCTCATGGGTCAAAGGCAAGGGGAAATAAAACGTTCATGATCTATGCGCCGTTATAATTATAAGTGTGCCGCACTGATGTGCGGGTGGATCCACGCATTGTCTCGGTGAAGTACGGGACGTGGTCCGTCGTCCAAGAAAAGCAGCAGGCCGGTGCTGGGTATATGACGACAATTTGAATGTGCTGAAAAAGAGTGATCAATGGAGTGAAGGTAGAGCATTCGCATCTACTCTTTTCGCCAGATTAATTCCAGAACCTTATCACCGAGCTCAGGGTCCCGACGGATGTACCATTGGCGGACCTGGTTGCCATCGACAATTGCATCTTCGTGGATATAGCTGATCTTGCCTTCATCCTTTGGTCGGAGTGGGCCAAGTTCATGCAAGAAGGACTCAAAGACTGCGCCATTGTCGCCGGCCCATGTGAGCTCCATCGACTTGTCGCCCGTGGGGACGTCATTGCTGTACTTGACGATAGAGAAGCCGTTGGTGAGGATCCAGCCGTCGCCGAAGTGCCATTTTCGCAAAAGACACGAGTCGCCACAGACCTCACTGACAACACCCAGCTTGGCCATGTCGGCATTGAACCACGACTTCCAGTGATGAACGGAGAGCGGCGGGGGTCGAGCAGCCTCAAAGAAACCAGATACATCACCCCTCATATCGATCTGTCGCAGGCGGTGATCAATAGTCAAATGGGCATCCGAATACTGGTAGATGCAGAGGGATATCTTGCGATCTCCCGTGGATTCCATTTTTTGACAATCCTCGTAAACCTCTTTACGGCCTATTTGCTCGATCAGGGGTCTAGACATGAAGACGCCAGCGCCTCCGAAACCCATCAAACCGAAGATTCCGACTTGGGGCATCGCTTCCGATAGCCCACCAACATAGGTCTGTGCTGAATCATCATATTTCGATAGAGCCTGTACCAGCGCCGTCATCGAAGGGAAGAAAGTATCGTCATCGATGACACAGGTCCATCTCGTCTGCGGCCGCAGATTCTTGGCCAAATGTGGCACTAACGAGAAGTATCGGTGCTGGTATTCTTCAGTCGATTCGGTTATCGAGAGGTTAACACCTAAGTTCTCCGCCTTAGTGAGGACTTCATTGATCCGTGCATCTGGCTCGATGAGTGCCAAGATGCGAGCGTTCGTATGTCCAGCCCAGTGGGTGAATGCGTCTAGCGACTCGTTCAGACGCCCCAATGTTGTAGCAACGCCGAAGTCAATGTGGGATGCGTCCGCCCTTGGTAAGATCGCAGGTACAGAGACAGAAACAGGACGAGGCATTAAGCAATCATCCTGATGCATGCTATCTTCCGCAAACCGATGGTCCTTGTGGATTTTTTCGAAAAGAGGCACTTCGAGTTTTTGTGCGATGGGAACGACGTCACTCGAGGAAGGAGAAGCGACAATTTCACGGCGGACATATTGAGAGAGCTTGCGAACGTCGAGGCGTTGGAGGGCATCGAAGTCGGGTTCGCATTCGACTTCGGAGGTAATGGTGATATTTGAGATCGTCTGAGTCGTGATTTCGTGGTGAGGTTCGATCTCAGGCCAGAGGAAGATCGTAAAACTGGTCACAAGACAAGCTGCGACCACAAAGCGCAGCAATTTTCTCCTCCACATGTACGAGGCGCCCATGGCGGTCCGCGGCTTCTCCTCAGTCTTATTCCACATCTGGGTCCGGAAACGTTATATCGTAGAAAGGGAATAGTATTGAATCTAGACGCCGCAATGAAACTGCAAGACCATCGCGATGCTCCAGTGATAGTGGGAGAGGAAGAGGTAGAACGGTGGAGAATATGGCAGGAGAGGCCTGGTCCAGATGGGAGGGCGGGAGCGGGCGGCAAAGAAGAAGAGGAAGGCGAGGGCGGAAACACAGGATATAACAATCGAGGCAGGAAGGAGAAAAGAGCAAACGATCCTTGAAATCCGCAACGATGAAGGAGGAAATGACGGGCAGCGTCGGAGACAGGCGAGGACGGCAGAGGGATGACGAAGGTCAAAAAGAAAGCGACGACGACAACGTCAATCCTGGGCCCGGTTAACCGTCAGGTTAGTGGAAGAAGATATGGAGTGGGAAGGTTGATAGCCGATCAACGGGGCTCCGAAATACCATTGCAGCAAGAACAAGCACTGCACGGCTAGAAAATGGCCGCATCTGACTGAGGGACGAAACAAATCATGGCCGGGCGGAGAATGGCTAACCCAGGGATCGACTATGGGCCAGTCTGGTTTCCTTAAGGCCCTGGAGAGTAGCGGATGGAGACCGATCCATCTGCTGTCCAGTGGTCTATCGAATGAGAATTCATCAAGCCATCAGGGCACACCTGCTGGACGGAGCAGCCACACAACATGTCCCACTGTCCACAGGGGCCGATCGGCCTAGAGACCAGTGCTAGGAGATTTCCCTGAAGTGACAGTCTCCCCAGGGTTACGTTCTTGAATTAGGGGTCTTTCTGCGCTTTCCCCAAACATCCTACTCCATTGCCCCATTGCACAGTGCACATTTGCACCATGGGATGGGATGGATGGTCAGCTTGCCCTTTTGTCTTTGTCTTTTTTTCCCTTTTTTTTTTCTTGGTGTCAGAGTACACATGGATAGGATGGAACCGGGACAGGAGAAGGAGGGAAAGAAACAGCTTTCTCCCACTTAACTTTCCAACCCCAACCTCCCCCCCACCTGTTAATGTGGCCGCACCGCTACAACCCCTGGGTACAACCATGCATTTGACGCGCATTCCGTTTGGGACGAAGGGCCTAAAACGGATGGCGGGGGCGACGGATTGCTGATGACGAATCGCCGGCGCATAACAGCGATTAGATAGCGTTCCGCATGAGGAATCTATTATGGACTCTAGCAGCGTCAGCAGCGCCGAGTGGTAAACTGTACACTGCTCTAGAGAAGAACACATTGCTACAGTACCTGAGTGTAGGATAATTATGTGTAGATCCAGGGCCCCTTGTATGAGTAGAGAGAAGATCGGTGGTATTAATCGCGCCTGTTGCAACTCGAAGTAGGATCATCGCAAACAGCGCCCCGGGTAGGGAGGACAATCCGGACAATGTCTTGTTCCGGCCTCCTCGCCTGACGTCCTCAAGTCAGTCATGTGCTTCATGGCCACAAGTCTTTTTTTTTTTGCTTGGTGGGCAGGAGATTATTATTGTTCTTATGGTGTCGGACAACAGCTGTTGAAAATAATAATAGAAATGCATTTCTTCGATCTGAACCGATTGATTGGCTCTTGTTGTCTGTGCGCGCCGCCACGCAGTAATCTGATGGCCTCGCTCTAATTAAGCAGTCTCAACTCAAAGAATGCGTATGAAGCATAGGCTGGATAAGCATGTCGGTCTGTCTGATATTCAGTGACCCTGAAAAGTAAGGGGCATTTGGTCTGGAACCTCATCGAGAGCAGTGAAGGCGGACTATCTGAGAGCCACAGCAGTCACATAGTATTGCTATTGTGGGGGGGGATTGGATTGATGAAGTGGTAAGGTATGCCTGGCACAGACTGAATGTTTTCACCTCCGTCTCTTGGATTGTAAGGAAGCTTTGCTGTCAACAATCCCACAAAGCTGGACTGGCATTTATCAATGTCCTGATGTTGAGTCCTCGCATGATTATGATGGTCGGAGGAAAGGCCGGGGAGATGGGCTACGGCCGTCTAACTAAACCTTTAGTGCAGAATTCCCCGATATGGAAATATCACACTCCCGCACAGATGGTTCACAAGCTTGGACTGGCCACTTGCAAGATCAAGCATATCCAGCTCATTATTCTTCAGATTCATACACTCCATAAGAACCGCTTAAGTGTAAAATCTTTGATATCATCTCACCTCAAAAACTACGCCCATCTTGGGCTACTGCGAATCACACCCCGGGTGACACGTTGGTCAATTTGACACGGCATCGCCATGGCTGCTCAGTCATTGAGTTCGTTGCTACAACGAGCCTCCATTGATGACCACGAAGAAGTCCTTCAGTCCTCCAACGCTGCACTAGCCAAGTCGAGAGCCGATCAGCATGCCCAGCATATCAAGGTCATCGCTCTGTTAAAACTCGACCGCTACGCTGACTGTCTGCGCGTGTTCGAGGAAGCTGGTGACGGCTTGAAGACCCGGGCCGCTCTGGAGTATGCCTATGTCCTCTACAAGTCAGGCCAGCCGGAGGCGGCCATAGAAGTAGTATCCAAGGTGACTGGCAACCGTGGTGCTCTTCACTTGGAAGCTCAAGCCGTATGTTACCCTTGCATGTGTTTCATACCTTGACCTCAACAGTAGGTGCTAATCTCTAACTTGCGAAATCACAGAGCTATCGCGCCGAGAGATTCCGTCGCGCCGCCGAATTATACGAAGAACTGTCGAAAGATGGAGCCTCAATGACCAACGAGGAAAACGATCTGCGCATCAATGCCTGGGCTACGGATGCGCAGCTGCAGTGGAAGGGATATCCCGAGTTCGTTCGCCATAACCGACCGACCCGTGATGATTTGGAGGCATTTGAAACCGTGTACAATGCTGCATGCTTGAGCATAGCAAAGGGCGAATTCGAGCAAGGAGAACTGCTTCTGAAGCGAGCAAAGGGTTCGTGTTTAGAAAGGATATACAGAGGCGATAACGATTGCTAACCCCTCCTCGTTACACAGAACTGTGCCGCACGTCAGAAGATCTCACCCCGGAGGATAGAGACGCCGAACTACTCCCAATTGCTGTGCAGCAGCTGTACGTTCTGCTTCGGCAAGGCAAGTCCGAGGAGGCTCGGTCCATTTTGGAGGAGATCTCCGTCAAGGAGTGCGCATACCTTCCCTGGTCAAACTATCCCAAATTGAAGCTTACCCGACCGCAGTATTCACGAAGCTTCGACGAAGAAGATCGCACAAACCAATGTCACCCTCGCCCGCGGCGCCTCGGCCAACCCTTATGCATTCTACAAGGCCTTCAACGAGATCCCAGACTCGACAGAGAGTGACAAGCTGTTCGACTATCAGAGCCACCTGACGATCGGCAACTCGCACGCCGCCGACCTCCTTGTCCGCAAATACGACGGCATCATCCGCTCCACCTCCAAGGCTCTCTCTCGAGCCGCCTACCCCTCCACAGAACCGAGCGCCAACCTCCTCTCGGTGTACAACGCCGCCGCTCACGCCCAAGGTGAATCCGGCACGAAAGCGCTCAAGCCCATCGTAGCAGCGCTGGACAAACGGCCCAAGGACATGGGCCTGGCCCTCACCGCCGTGCAGCTCTACGTCGGCGCGGGCAACACCACCTCTGCGATCACCACTCTCGAGGCCACCCTTCAACTCCTCGACGAGTCCATCTCCGAGCAAGACAAGGAAGTTCGATTTAACCCGGGCGTTCTGAGTGTGCTTCTCTCCCTCTACAAGCTCGAGGGCCGCAAGGTCCAGATCCGCTCTGAACTGGCCAAGGCCGCCGCCTACTGGCAGCAGCAGCAGCGGGAAGGCGCCAACCAACCGCCGCCCGTTCCCCTCCTCCGCGCCGCCGCCGCCTCCCTGTTGCACTCCACCAACACCTCCGACCTCACCAAGGCCGGCGACCTGTTCAAGTCTCTCTACCAGTCCAACACCGCCGACAACTTCGCCGTGGCCGGCTACGTCGCCGCGCAGGCCCCCATCGACTACGCCAAGGTCGAATCCCTGGTCGACAAGCTCCCGTCCGTTGCGGACCTGATCGCCGAGGTGGACCTGGCTGGCCTCGAACAAGCGGGTATCGCGCCTTCGTCGGGTGCGAACGCCGCGGCCGCGGCTGCGATCGCGGGCGCTCGCAAGCGGTCAGCCACTGCCAACCTTAAGGAAGACGGCGGTGCGGCGAAGAAGCGGGTCCGGAAGTCGAGGCTGCCCAAGGATTACGATCCGGGTAAGACCCCCGACCCGGAGCGCTGGCTGCCTCTGCGCGATCGCTCGAACTACCGGCCCAAGGGTCGCAAGGGCAAGCAGCGCGCTGCGGAGCGGACACAGGGCGGTGTTGTGAACGACAAGGGTGAGGAATCGACTGCGGTCACCAACCAGCCTAAGCCTCAGAGCGGTGGTGGCGCCAACAAGAAGAAGAAGAAGGGCAAGCGGTAGTGATGCGGAACGGTAATTCTTCATGTTTCTTTTTTTTTAACTTCTATTCATGAGACATGTCTTGCATTGGCTGGCAGAGAAAAAGAAGAGAGGTCTTTTTAGACACTTTGGAAGCATGTAAATAGAAATTCGGTCAATCTGCTGCTCTGATGCAACTCGCCCTTTCGCCTTCGAAACAAACAGCAAATTTTAAAGTATGCATATTAGTTCTTACATGTGAGACTTTTCCTGCTAAAACAGTATCCCACCCTGAGTATAACCGCGCGTGTTGCCAATTTCCATTGCCTAGCCCAGAGGAGTCCGAATGGTGCCACACTGCCGATCGTACTGCTCGAAGATTTGGTAAAACAGCTTCAGATCCTGAAGCCCATCGCGGGCGGCCGTCTTGGCCATCTTATCTTCGGTGAGGTAGGCGTGCAGCGCCTTGAGTTCTGCCTCATAGGTCTCCTGCCACCCGCTCACACGTTCAGTTCTCTTCATCTCCCCATTCTCATCTGCCGTCTCCACCACAACCTTCACAGGCACACCACGAGCGTATGGCAGACCATACTGAATGCTGACAGTCTTTGTGTCACCATAGATTGCAAGGTGTGCATCACAACGCGGCACGGCATCGGTACCCGTCTCGTACATCAGGGTAAATGGGTGCTCGCCCTTCCGCCCACTGTAATAATGGAACAAGGCCGAGTAGTATGGCTCGTTCACAGAGATGTTCGAGATGGCATCAGGAAACCCAAGCGAGTCGCGCATCAAGCCCAGATCATGACAGCCCAGAGAGGCAAGAAACTCGCAGAGCGCGATACGTTCTTTGGTCAGTTCCTGTCCCAAGAACATCTCCTGCAGCAAACCGTGCATGAGCTGCGGGCCACTATCCTTCTTCCTATTCTCCTCCGATGCGAATCCATATACTGCTGCACCATTCAAGGCAGTCCAGAGCCTCTTCCGCGGTGCGGTAGCCGTGTGCGCCAAGCTAGGGCCCGCGATGTTTCGGCAGCGAGCGTAATAGATGCGATCCAGGGACGCAACCTCCTTCCTGAAGACCTCCTCGATACAAGGGGCATAGCGTCGCGCACATGCCACAAACACTTTAGCACCATTGGGGGCACGCTTCTCCGCTTCAATAATGCGCCGTGCACTTTGGATGCTCAGGCTCACGGGTGTTTCGACCATGACGTGCTTGCCAGCATCCAGAGCCGCTACTGTGTAGATCTCGTGATACTCGTTGGGCATGAAGTTGAGGATCAGCTGGATAGAAGAGTCGGAGATGATCTCTTCGGCGGACGATGCATGATTGATGTTTTTGATTCGGTTCTCATGGCCATCGGCTATGGTCGTGCCATCTGCGTGATGGCCGTTGATATGGCCGTTAGTGTGACCGTTGGTGTGACCGTTGGTGTAATGGCCGTTGGTGTAAGCCTTCCTGGTGCTGTTTATCGTCTGCTTGGTATCACCTTTTGGAGCATTGTAGATGGCAGCTACTTGGTATGTGTTGGTAAGAGCGGTAAGGATAGGAAGGTAGATTCCTTGAATGGCTTGGGCGCCTTCGTCTGCGGTGAGGATTCCGACTTGGAGGACCTTCTGTGTCATCGTGCTTCTCTTGTTCAGATATGTGCTTTCGGGTTCCTCTGTATCGGGCTGAGATGCGCTAGATGTTCATGTGTTAGGCTCATGTAGATAGGATCTGCGGACCTTGACTTACGCAGGTAAATCCAATAACTCAATCAGCCGGCACGAAGAGTAGACAGAGCGAGACTCTGGAGATCAGGAGAAGGAGAAAGAGAAGGAGAAGAGGGAAGGCGCATTTTCTGATGTGAAGAGAAAGACAAAGTTCTGAACGGGATGGAGCACTGGCTTCAGGTAAGGAATGCTGGATGCAAGGGATGGACTCGGGTTAGGAGATTACCTGCCTGTTGCAGTGTTAATGTGTTGACCCCCTACAAATCCGGCAAGAAACACGAATTTAGAATCGAGCGTGTTAAGGAAACAACACCTGTGACTCGGGAAACTTGAAACTTTTCCAGCTTGGCTCGAGTCCTGCCTTGTGTTATGATATATTTTCTCGGGCTTGTGAGAGAAAAAGAAAAGGCTGTGATGGCGATATCAGAAGCAAGATGCAGGATCATGGAGCTCTGTTTTCCTCCCACTGGCTTTTGTTGGGTCGGGATATTCCATGACATCAGTGGCACTTGTTTTTTATTTTTTCTAATCGTGCTTGATATTCTCAGCTGAAAAATAGTTCTCGATGTATCCTTCGACTTTGTTCCTGGATCTACTTGATAGTGTAGTGAAATTGAGACGATTAGAGGCATGATCCATCATGCTTGCTATATATCGATATGGACTGCGGTAGGACTGCAGGTCGATCGGGTGGGGCCGAATTTGCCTACAGAAAAAGACATCAGATAATCAAACATCGCACCTACATGCAGCCATGCAGCCTGTCTGCATGACACACGAGTAATAGAAGGTTGACAAGCAATCTCCCGGGAAATTTCAGTCAGCTGGTATTACCATCCTACTCTTGCTTGATTCGATACTTTAGCAGTCTGTGTTGAATGAGATTGTGATCACTGGCATTTTCGTTACTGGCAGGTCATGTGCCAGCTATTATGCTTGGACCATGTATATTGTGGTCCCGGTACACACACTAGTTAAACATGATGTATTCTGTAGGAGGAGTAGAATATTCTGGATGCAGCGCAGCCTTATGCCATGACGGGCATGATCAACTCTATAGGCACCAATGACTGGTTGCGCAATCCAGTGAGGGCAATTCAATAGACTCTGAATGAGGCTGAGTTTTGTTGACTGTAGGTACGTACAGTACATCTGAGTAGTAGAGCTGGAGAGTAAGAAGTGGAATCAGATCAGTCGGTCGTCATCTCAATTCGACACGAAGCGACTAAGCCCCGTCTAAGGCTTGATGCAGCCTTAGTCTTGACTTAGCGGCTTCTCATTCGATCTGAGATGTGGCTGTGAACATTTGGAGCCCGGAACACTCTCTCCTTTTTTTTTCCCCCTCTTACCTTACCTTACTCACTCCTCTTCCGCTCCTGCCCCTCTGACGACATCATCAGATTATATCAAACAGCCAGCTGCAGGGTCAACAACCTTTCCCTTTCTTCCTCTCATCACCACCACTTTCCTCTCCGGGACCCCAGAACCAAAGTCAGATATTAACATCGGAGTAACCCATCAAATTCATTATGGGGGTAAGTTCGAGTCTTAAGTCATTTGTCCCACCCGTCCTTCCATTTCTCAATTTATTTTATTGTTCGACTGCCCCGCGTTGCTGCCCCGCTCATCCCAAAGCTCGGCCTGCAATCATCTGCATCAGCTTTCGAACACGTCAACCTGCTTCTGCTTTCGTGGTGTACGGTACATGAACTCGAACTAACCACTGCACTCTGCACTTGCTTCCTTCCTCTCTAGTTTGCATCGAAGATCGCCAACGGTATGAACCGCCCAGCCGACGGGAATACCAACAAGCCTGGTGGTGGTGGAGGTGTGTATGGAGGAGCACCACCCACTGGCTACACTGGAGGACCTCCAAGCTCGCTGCAGCCTGGAGGAGCACCCGGTGGATATGTGAGTCCGCCCTACGCAAGTGACTAATCTAATCCCGTTGCCCCTCACGCATCCATGATTCATTCATCATCATCGGCATCATTGATTCAGTTTGCACATTTTCTGGACTCCTGTAATCTCATTTTTCCTCCCCCAAAGCTGATGCAGTCTTTTCCTAGCAACCACAGCAAAATCCTCAGCAGCAACAGGGTCAGCAGTATCAGGCTTACTCAGGCTCGCCTGCTCCCGCTGGTGGTCCGGTAAGCTAAAAGTTTCCTTAACTGTTCGTTCTTTACTTCTTTTCTTGAGTTGCTCTTTTCCCAACCCCCCCCTCCCCTTCCATCCCTCCTGGAGTTTCCTACCCATCAATCACCATCAAATGAACGAGAGCCTGGAAACGACTCCACCATCTTCCTAAATTATCCTCTTGTTCCCTGTGCCCCTCTTATCCTTATTTTCACTCGACCGTGGCCCGCTCTCTACCTTCTTCCAACCTTCATATTCTTCCTGCTCGCCGTCGTCCGGTCACTCGGGCGCAACTTCTCGACCATGTCTCGGCCTTACTATGACCCTTACGGTCACCCCTCCCAGCTCCGTCCTGGATCAACCCAACCTCCTCAGTCTCCTTATCCAACCTCACCGTCGGGACAATATCAGGCATATGGAGCTCCATCACTTCCTCCCAACAAGCCGGCTCACACGCCTTCACCTGGCCCTCAGTCGCCCTATCCTGGAGCACAACCTCCTTATCAGACAAGCCAATCGCCCTACCCCGGTTCCCAGCCCGCGTATTCTGCACCGGCCAATCCATCGCCGTCCCCGGCTCCTCAGGCTTACGGCCAGGCTTATTCACAAGCACCCTATGGTGTACCCGCGCCTCCTGCCCAAGGCTACGCGCAACCGTCACCTTATAGCACGCGGGACCAGCCGTATGGACAGTATACTCAGCCACAGCAAGGCTATGGCCGGCCCCCGCCTCCCCCACCCCAGGGTCAGCCCTACGGATCAGCCGCCCCCCAGTACTCTCAACCTCCTACAGCTCAAGTACACATTGGTTCCCATCTCTCTACACATGCGTTCTCAGTTTCTTTCATATATCCCGTTGTCTTAGCGCACGTTTACTCAGGATCGTAATCCGTACTAACCGAGTCTGATGTTCTAGGGTCAACCTTACCCTCCTCAAAATGCGCCTTATTCTGGCGGACCCGTTCGTCCTCCCCAGCAGGGTGGGCCTCCCGGAGCTGCGTACGGTCCCTCGGGGGGTGCCCCTACTCCGGCTCGTGCCACGCATCAGCAGATCGCCGCCTACCGACAGCTGTTGATTGGCACTATTCAAGAGAAACGCCTTCAAAGCTTCTACCCCCTTGAAAGACTTGATAAGCTCGTTCAGGCTCTGTCCAACGATGCACCCTTCAAGGTGAACAAGCTGATTCATGAGCTTAACATCCCAACCGAAGTGGCTATGGATATCATGAAGTTGGCTCTCTTTGATGTTATCTTGTACGTGGATGACAGTGGCTCCATGGAGTTTGAAGAACGAGGTGTGAGAAAGGAACAACTGCGTTCGACCATCGAGGTCGTTGCTTCGGCCGCTTCCACTTTTGATGATGATGGTATCTCGGTGCGGTTCATGAACTCACCTGAGCAAGGCGATGGCATTCGCAACGCAGACGATGTTAGCCGCCTCGTTTCGCGAGTCCGCTTCCAGGGTCTTACACCATTGGGTACAAGTCTACGCAACAAAGTCCTGGACCCTATGGTGGTGACTCCGGCCAGAGCTGGTCGACTCCAGAAACCTGTTCTGATCATCACCATTACCGATGGACAGCCGGCCGGTGAGCCTCTGGACAGTGTGTCGAACGCCATTGGCTATGCTGTCAACGAAGTTTCTCGCACTCAGTATGGACAGGGGGCCGTTTCCTTCCAGTTTTCCCAAGTCGGAAACGACACCAAGGCCCGGGATTTCCTCGCTTCTCTGGACGAAGATCCTCGAATCGGCTCCTTGATTGATTGCACCTCAAGTATGTTGTGGCCTCGCTATGGTGGTATGATGCACTAATTGAGCCTATAGACTTCGAGGTTGAGCAAGATGAAATGTCACGGGCTAATCCCCCAGTGCATCTGACTCGCGAACTCTGGGTGAGTGCCTATGAGATACCATCTTGACTACACGCCATTGACTGACTTGATCCTAGTGTGCCAAACTGATGCTCGGTGCAATTGACTCTTCATACGATACCAAAGATGAAAAGGCCGCTGGGCGTAGTGGTGCTCCGCCACCCGGACCTCCAGGTGGCCAGTACGGTGGTTATAACTACAACCAGCCTCCCGCCCAGAATTACAACCAGCCGCCTCCCGGACAGTACGGCTCGGGACCTGGATACAATCAGGCACCATACCCGCCCAGCCAAGGTCAGGGTCAAGGTCCCCCTCAGGGCTACGGTCAAGGCTATGGTGGCGGCTACAGCGCTTCCTCTCCGCATCCCAACCAACCTGGGTATGGACAGTCGCCTGGTGGGGCTACACGAGGCTACCCTGGCTACGGAGCGCCTCCCCGCTACTAGACAGGAGGTAGCATACTGTTGAAGATGGGGGCGAACCGAATTGGTTTCGTCTGAAAATCGCTTTAAGTCTGTAGCCATTGCTTTTCTTGCATTAATATGAGCACCGTTATGTCATGAGGACGACCGCATGAAATTGGCACAAATGCAACTGACTAAGGATTCTGTCTCTGTGTGATTGCAACACCATGTAATATCTCCTAGTCGGTGTAGCACAAGACAATAGCATATCGACGCTCACGGCGTTCTTGTTTTAGATGTTTGACATACTCGCACAACTGATAGTCTAGGCCAAGCACGACCTCAGATGCGGGTGACATGACGTCATAGCGAACAATATCACGTGAGCATGCCAACCATTGACCAGAACAAAAACCATGAAGTGCGCTAGATAATAGCTAAGTTGCACCATCAAGCCTGCGTTTGTAATGGATGCAGTTTATCATCTTCGAGATAGCAGACCACGGGTTGCACGATGGAGACCGCAGTCAAGAATAGCATGGATATTCGCCACTATCTTTTTTTTTATCAACAAGTTACATATCAAAGGCATGGTCAATGGGTGTGGGGGAAAATGTCACCCAAGCGGGTCGGAGGATTTCCTGTTTCGGACTGTATTCGCCATGGTCTGGGGAGGCAGAAAACACATTCTTACTAGGTTAGGCTCCACTGTAAGTTAATGATGAGGAATAGTGATCCATGTCATGTCTGTCTGTCACTCTGTCTACTCATAGTAAGTGTTCGTTCAACCTTCCATAAACTCAAACCAGTAGGCAGCCGCATGACAGGGACAGATGATAGTAGACTGGTGAATGGTCGGTCTTTGCCCCGCCTCACTGCAGGCTTTCAGGCTCTCTCTTACTTCTTCCACCCTCCCACCCTTTTAACTTTCTTCTTGTCTTTTCCTGGTTCTAGGCAACGTCGCGCGAGTTCCTGTTGCCACCACATGTGTGCCCACCCGCGCCGGGGGGAGGAGGAAGCCTACGTAAAAATCAGGCTCCAACTGCCAGTCATTTGTGTTTGGACCCATGGAAAGGTGGGTGGGATGGGAGAAATTTCTGGATGGAGGGAGTTAGCCATGGATGGATGAATCGACTTTCTTCCGCCATTTCTTTCGCCACGAGTGAAAGGCTCGGTGGAAGCCCTAAGATTCTGGTACTTTGGTATTGGGCAATTAGGGAGTCACTACTTACGGAGTGAGTATAGTACCTAATTGAGATACCACGGTATATATATACTATGTAGTACTTGTAGGCCAGGCGGGGTATTGACGAGGGGCACATTCTGGCTCAAGTAATGTATTTAAGAACGTACTCGTACAAAACCAGAATATTAATAGCTTATGGGCGAGGGGAGGGCAGTGCAGGAGAGTGTGGTTGCGTGGCCCTTCAGGCTTCCTTTGGCTGGTTCTGGTCGAGGGCGGAGAAGCGACCGATGAATGGCCGGGCAGCAATTAAGGTGCCTCCGCATTCGAATTCAAGGTTCGTTCAAATCTGCTATCGCCAGTTTGAGGAAATTAATTAATAAATTAATTAATATTCATTTCGTCCTTTCCCTCTCTTTTCCCTTCCTTCCCTTCTTCCTTCTCTCTTTCCATCCTTCTTCTGTCTGACCTTTCAAACCTCACCGCTTAGCAGGCAAGGTACCTACAAACAACATTGTGGATTGAACTGCTTTTCCTCCTTCTTCTCCCTCTCCTCTCCTCGCCCTTGTGAACATTTCCCTCACCTGCGTGCAGTCTTATCGGTAGATTATCAGCCAGTGGCGGCGGCTCTTCTATTTTCGGCCAGAGTGACCGCTTTCAACTTAATTGATTTCCAGGGCCCCTTTTTTCTGCCTTTCACTTTTTCGTCACTTACCCACATTGGGACATCATACCTGTTTGCCCAGTGCCTGTCCCTCGCCGCCTGCGGAAACCCTGAACGCTTTACAGACTGACCACGCCGTTTCCTACTCATTCCTCTGGTTTTCCTTCCAGACCAATTCCTTCTTCTAAACTGTTTATTATCATCAACATCGCCTTTGGTTTATACATCCCCCGCCCGTGTCATCTACGAGCTTTCACCGGGATTGATTCACAGTGATACTCCACCCCCACAGTCGTTTCTGCTTCGTTTCATCCGTCGCATTCGCCTTCCCCCACCATTCACAGCCAAATCTTCGGTCACCGAACCATCTTACGGCCGACCTTATATATACCCACAACACCAGAGGTCGCTTGCACTGTACATACCACATTAATCTTTAAGTCTTCCATATCGGTGGTTTCATATGACGTCTCCCGCCTAGGACGTTGATCATCTGAATATCTAAGTCGCTGGATCTAGGCCAAAGCATGAGTCCAGCTGTTGACTACCTTGTGTTTCCCGATCCGCGCAGTACAACCGAGTCGTCCCACAATAGCATCTGACTGCTCTGTGTCCGATTTGAAATCAGGTGGTAGCAGTTTGGCAGGAGAGAGATCAGTGGACAAGCGGGATTGCTGGTCATCGCATTTCCCGGCCATTCGCCATGCCCGACAATCATGAATCACCAGAGTCAAAACACATTCCACGGGAAGCGACATCTGCAGAGCAGCCAACGATAACAAATCAAGGGCGTTCGCCAACAGACGGTCCCACCCCCGCCTCGCAGCTCCCCAGAAGCCAATCCCTGCAGATACCCTCCACCCGAACAAATGTAACTCCCAGCCGCTCCTCGATTTCGCCGTTCCGCGCCGTCTCCGATGCAGGTCGGCGACCATCGCAGCAACATCATGTTCGATTCTCGACTGACCTAGAACGCCCTGCGGTGGACGAGGCCCAAGGGTCCAATTGGGATCGTCGACCAGCCTCAAGGGGATTGACCATTGACACGAACCTCGCGGACAATTCAAGCGCCACTTCGCCATTGTCTCCGCGCTCTGCATTGTCCCCTCCGTCCCCGCAGAGTCCTGAATCTGGGGGTCGGTCAAGGTCCCGCCACCGTGGATACTCCCTGCGACGAACAATTTTTGCCAAGAATATTGAGTCGCAGTCGGCCGTTACTTCTCCGGACGCGATCGAGTTAGGTACCGCTTTGCCCGTGAGCCCTCAGCAGGTCGAGGCTTCAGCAGATGGTCTTGCTCGGACAGCAACGGCGAACGAAAGCGGGCAGGCGCTGGCAGATGAGAAACAGGAGGTGCTGGTCATGCAAAGATCGGCCTCAGATGCCAACTTGGACTTATCCACAACCTATTACTCGGAGCCTTCGGAGAACCTGAAAGATGGCAGGCACCTTTCCACGACCTTCTCATACGACCGGTGGCTGAAGCGCAAAGCCGTGATTGCCACGCTCAAGCTTCGTATCGAGACGATAGCCGAGACAGTTCGCAAATCTATACTCCGCATCAAGGAGATCCCCCCGAGCAAAGACGGGCGCCATATCGATCTCAATCCTGCCCGCACAGAAACGTTGGTGGATGAGAGAACCGGAAAGCCGTATTTGGGGAACTCCATCCGTTCCAGCCGATACAGTTTCTGGAGCTTCTTTCCCCGCCAACTGTTCGCCCAATTCACCAAGCTTGCGAATTTCTATTTCCTGATAGTCGCCATCCTGCAAATGATCCCTGGGCTGAGTACCACTGGTACCTACACCACGATTGTTCCGCTACTTATCTTCGTCGGTATCTCTATGGGTAAAGAAGGGTTTGATGACTGGCGCCGTTATCGCCTGGACAAGGAAGAGAACAATCGGAATGCCCTTGTCTTGCGTCCAAATGCTGGAATTTTCCATCCGGCTTCTGCCAACGACAACGTCTCCGTGACCAGCGACGTGCAAGATTGGACGTCAATCAAATGGAAGGATATTCAAGTGGGCGATGTGATCAAATTGGAGCGCGACCAGCCTGTGCCGGCGGATATGGTTCTGCTCCATGCGGACGGGCCGAATGGCGTTGCTTATATCGAAACCATGGCTCTCGATGGCGAGACGAACTTGAAGAACAAGCAGCCTTTGCAGCCGGTAGCAAAGATATGTGGTTCTGTGGAGGGTATCTGCAGCACCGCTCTACATTTCGCGGTCGAGGATCCCAACCTCGACCTCTATAAGTTCGATGGCAATGTCACGGTCGCCGCGGACGAGAAACTGCCACTAACCAACACTGAAGTTCTCTACCGCGGTAGCATCATGCGCAACACGGAAAGGGCGATCGGCATGGTCATCTACACAGGAGAGGAGTGCAAAATTCGCATGAACGCGAACAAGAACCCTCGGATCAAGTCTCCATCGCTCCAGGCAAAAGTCAATCGGGTGGTCATGTTGATCGTGACGCTCGTTGTAGTTCTGGCTGTAGCGTGCACAATCGCTTACAAGTATTGGTCCGACGACGTTGAATCGAAATCATGGTACCTGTATAAAGCGAGCGTGGACATCGGACCTATCTTCACCTCCTTCCTCATTATGTTCAACACGATGATCCCTATCTCATTATACGTGAGTATGGAAATCGTCAAAGTTGCTCAAATGTTTCTTTTGAATACCGACATCGACATGTATGATCCTGAAACAGACACCCCAGTTGAAGCACGCACATCGACCATCAACGAAGAGCTGGGTCAAGTCAGTTACATTTTCTCTGACAAGACAGGCACATTGACGAACAACTCGATGCGCTTTCGCAAGATGAGTGTTGCTGGCACCGCGTGGTATCATGACCTTGACCTTCTCCAAGAAGCAGCAAGGGACGGTGATCATACCAAACTGATCCACAAAAAGCGCAGTGCCAAAGGGAAGAAGGCACTCAGTCGCAAGTCCAATGTTTCCGAGGCTAGGAGACATCCACCAAGATCCTCTATGTCAACAGCAACCGGGCTGCAGGGACTTGGTATCTCTATGCGCAATCATCGGACCACAGACATGCTTCGATATATCCAGCGTAAGCCCTATACAGTCTTTGCGCGGAAGGCTAAGATGTTTATACTGGCCATGGCATTGTGCCATACATGTATCCCCGAGGATGACGACGAAGGTAACGTTTCCTTCCA